GCCATGAGGGCACACCACCGCAACTCCCCTCCCAGAGGCTGTCCTGCAACTCAGCTCCACCCCCAGGAAGGAGACGGGCACACCACCTCCTTCACCTCTGCTGTTCCCTTTACTACTGAAATATGCTGTCTCACTCACATGGAGCCAACGCCCACAGGGAACAGCCAAGAGATGGCCCTTGCTTCCAGGCCAAGAGCAGTATTTGGGAGGACCTTAAGCTAAGCTCCGAGTCCTTAGTTTTGCCCTTTCATACCCCTCCGGATAGGGCAGAGATTCCAAGTAAACAAGGTGACAAAGGTGGCCCTTGTCCCAGAGCCTTGTAAGGGCCAATCAAAAGATACTTTCCTCTAGTATTCTCCTGAGCTGACTGTAAAAACATCACACTACAGAGATTCTGAAACACTGGTCTCAGAAATATCTCTATCTATCGAAATATATATATAGATACACACACACACATTTTTTTTCTTTGAGTTGGAGTCTCACTGTTGCCCAGGGTGGAGTGCCATGGTAACCCCAGCGTTGACCCGCTGGGTTCCGGCGATCCTTCTGCCTCAGCCTTCCTCGTAGTCGGAACTACAGGCGCGCACTACCATGCCCAGATAATTTTTGATTTACTGCAGAGATGAGGTCTCGCCAAGTTTCCCAGGCTGGTCTTGAACCCGCAGTCTCAGAAAATCAACTCCCTGACCTCCCAAAATCCTGGGATTACAGGCTGAGCCACCAAGCCCAGTCTATTTTTTTAATTAAGAGTTGAGGTCTGCCAGGCATGATGGCTCAAGCTTGTAATCCTAGCACTTTGGGAGGACAAGGTGAGGAGATTGCCTAAACCTATGGGTTTAAGAACAGTGTGGGGCAACTTGAGACCTCATCTCTACAATTAAAAAAAAAAAAATTGGCTGGGCTTGGTGGCTCAGCCTGTAATGCTGCGCCTTGGGAGGCCGAAGTGAGGGGACTGCCTGACCTCACAGGTTCGAGACCCGCCTGGGCAACTTAGCGAGACCTCATCTCTACAATAAATGAAAAAAATTACCTGGGCGTGGTAGTATGCGCCTGTAGTTCCAGCTACTTGGAAGGCTGAGGCGGAAGGATCGCCGGAGCCCAGCAGGTCGAGGCTGCGGTGGCCGGGAGCGGCCACTGCACTCCAGTCTGGGCGACAGAGTGAGACTCCAACTCAAAAAAAAAGAAAAAAAAAATTACCTGGGCGTGGTAGTACCCACCTATATATAGTTCTGGCAACTTGAAAGGCTGAGATGGAAGAAATGCCTGAGTCCAGAAGGTTGATGCTGGGGTGGCTGTAAGCATGCCACTGTACTTCAGTCTGGGCAAAGCAGTGACTCTAAAAAAAATTGGCTGGGTTTGGTGGCTCACAACTGTAAACCCAGCACTTTGGGAGGCTGAAGCGAGAGGACTGCCTGAGCCCACATGTTCGAGACCAGCCTGGGCAACATGGCAAGAACTCATCTCTACAATAAATCAAAAAATTAGCCAGGCGTGGTGGTACATGCCTGTGGTTCCAACTACTTGGAAGGCTGAGGCGGAAAAATCACCTGAGTCCAGCAGGTTGAGGCTGTGATGGCCTTGAGCGTGCCACTGCACTGCAGCCTGGGTGACAGAGTGAGACTCCAACTCAAGAAAAAAAAGAAAAAGACTTGAGGTCTTGGCCAGGTTCAGTGGCTCATGCATGTAACTGCAGTATTTTGCAAGGCCAAGGCTACAGGTCTCAGCTTAGTAATTTGAGACTAACCTAAACATGTCAAGACCTCATTGTCAACAGTTAGCAGGGCATGGTATGTAGTTCCAGCTGCTTGGGAGGTTGAGGATCACTTGAGCCCAGGAGTCTGAGACTGCAGTGAGCTGCGATTATTCCACTGCACTCTAGCCTGGGCAACGGAGTAAGATACCAACTCAAAAAAAAAATAAACAAACAGTTGAGGTTTTACCCTGTCACCTATGGTGCAGTGCAGTGGCATGATCACAGCTCGCTGCCGCTTCGAATTCCTGGTCTCAAGCAAACCCCCCATTTCAGACTCTCAAAGTACTGGGATTATAGGTGTGTGAACCACTGCACCCGGCCAGGGCCTTCTTTTAGTTACCTAGACAAGCACATCCTCTCCCATATACCATATCCCTCTGGATCTGACTGCTGAAGCTAGACTTCGGTCTTGCAGAATGTGGCAAGGACTTCCATGTCTGGAAATAGGGAGGCACAACTAGCTCTGACAGGAAAGAGCTGAACTTATATCCTAAGAAGTTTGAACGTGGGCATGATCATTCTGATTTCCCAAGTACAAGAATTCAAACATGAATGCTGCCAGGCCGGGCGCGGCGGTTCATGCCTGTAATTTCAGCCTTTGAGAGGCTGAAGCAGGAGGATCATTCGAGGCTAGGAACTTGAGACAAGTCTGGGCAACAAGCAAGACCTCATCTCTACAAAAAAAAAAAAAAAGACATTAGCCAGGTGTGGTGGCACAAGTCTGTAGTGCCAGCTACTCGGGAGGCTGAGACAGGAGGATCATTGAGGCTAAAGTTGAAGGATCACCTGAGCCCAAGAAGTTGAGGCTGCAGTGAGCCATGATCGTGCCACTGCACTCCCCACCTGGGCAATAGAGAGCCCAGCTCAAAAGAAAAATAAGTGGTGTAAACTGAAAAGTAATTTTCAGAAATAGGCATGGTCTTAGGATAAGCTCCCAGGCATATAAAACTTAATGCATGTAACAAAAATGTGGAGGTCAGACACAGTTCTTTCCAGGGGCAAGGGAAGACCCAGGTCCAGGATGAGTCTCAGCAGGGACTTTGTGGCTATGCTTCTCTGGAAGGCCCAGGGTCAAAACAGTACCTGCGTCTGACCAGTGGCTCTCACACCGCGGAGCTTCAGGCAGGGAGCCTCTCTGAGACCCGGCTGCACATGCCTTCCCAGCTCACGACAGTGGAGCCTGAGCTGTGCTCCACACAAGAGATGAGGACACAGCACAACTGGCAGTGCATAAGAGCAGTTCCAAATGCAACTTAAGGGCTTCTGAGAAGATAGGGGCACCAGGATGTGTGCTTTAAAACCAAGGCGCCGGGCTTGGTGGCTCAGCCTGTAATCCCATGCCTTCGGAGGCTGAGGTCAGTGGACTGCTTAAGCCCGCAGGTTCAAGACCCACCTGGGCAACTTGGCAAGACCTCACCCCTACAATAAAACAAAAAATTAGCCAGGCATGGTAGTGCGCGCCTGTAATTTCAGCTACTTAGAAGGCTGACCGGAAGGATCACCGGAGCTCAGTAGGTCGAGGGCAACAGAGTGAGACTCTAAATAAAAAATTTAAAAACAAAAACAAAAACATAAAAAACCCCAAGGCTCTGGCACAAATTCAGTGACTCCTGGGCCCACCCTCCACAGTGCCATCCTTGCCTGGCTCAGTAGGCTGGGCTGCAGTACTGGCAAGAGACAAATGGGGCATGGCCCAATGTCCCCATGAGCAACCTTTAAAGGGAAGCTCACAGAGGAGAGGGCAGGGAGGGCAGAAGATGCCATGTGGTCAGGACCCAGGTTCACGCTTGGCTCGAATGAGCTTTGGGGTCCTCCCAGCTACCTATTTAACCTATATGCATTCAGACTCCAAGAGTGCCAACATGAAGGCAGACGTTTTCCATCTGATGTTTATATTCCTTTCACTTCTGTCTCAGCTCCATCCTAAGAACTCCAAATAACTCCCTGTAACAGGAGGTCCAGAAACTGTAAATTAGTGTGGGGGTGACCACGAAGTTGTCAAAAACCTGAGCACTGATCACTAGCCTACAATTTGGTCGTCAAAAACCTGATCATCACCACTAGTCTACAATTTGGTGTCACATTTATAAAAATCTTTTTTTTTTTTTTGAGTTGCAGTCTCACTCTGTCACCCAGGCTGAAGGGCAGGCTGGACTGGCTGGGCTCAGGCCATCTTTCTGCTTCAGCCTTCCAAACAGCTGAAACTATAGGCACGTACCACCATGCCTGGCTAATTTTTGATTTATTGTAGAGGTGAGGTCTCACCAAGTGCCCAGGCTGGCCTTGAACCCATGGACTCAGCCAATCCTCTCACCTCGGTCGCCCAAAGTGCTGGGATTACAGGGGTGAGCCACAGCACTTGGGAGAAAAACCTATTAAAAAAAAAAAAACTTTTTCTGTTCAGGGGTGGTGGCTCATGCCAGTAGTCCCAGCATTTTGGGACGCCAAAGCAGGAGGACTGCTTGAGCCCAGGAGTTCTTGATCAGCCCGGGCAAGGGAGTGAGACCCCCATCTCTACAAAAAATAACTTTAAAAAATTAGCCATGTGTGGTGGCACACACCCATGATCCCAGCTAATTTGGAGGCTGAGACTAGAGGATTGCTTGAACCCAGGAGTTAAAGGCTACAGCAAGCTATGATTGCACCATTGCTCACCAGCATGAGTGACAGAGTGATACGCTGTCTCAAGAAAAAAGAAACAAAAGAAAAAGCTTTTCTTTCCACAGGAGTCTTAAGTAGCAAGTCCAATCTGTTTTGTCTTCCTGCTTCTAACTGCTCTGGAGCAATCGTGGCCCTCCTCTTCGCCTGACCCTCCAAGGATGTCACGAGACATGGGTAGTACCCAATGCCATGTCTCAGTGCATGGACACAACTACCTGCCAAGGACCACGCAGGCAGCCCTGCCCTGGACAAGCAATGGGGCTTTGTGGCCCGTTCCGCACCTAAGCGTCTCTGGTGCCATCACGTCAGAACCTCCTGCTGGATCACATCCTACGGGTCACACACTGTGCATGCGTGCCTGCCTCACAACACCCTGCGCCATGGTGGGTCTGATTCATGCACTACCTAACACATGCCAAGGAGAGGAGGAGCTAAGCTCTTGTGAGTAAAGAGAGGGAGCGTGTGTGTGCGCATGCCCTGTGTCTCCTCACCCCTGCCACCCAGAGCACCTCCTCAGGTCACCCATGACATCTGCCAGAGAGGACCGCACTGGGGACTTTTAAAGGGTAACCCACTGGGATACAGTTCTTTGTCTTTCCTAAGAAGATCATTGTACATCTGGTCATATGTGGTTTTGAAATCATAAACATTGGGCTTGTCAGGTGCTGGTCCTGGAAGCTTCACATGAGTCCCCGTTCCAAAGGACCGGACGCTGAATCCCCGTTTGCTGAAAGACAAAAGGAGAGAAGAGATCACAGTTGGACTAAATAAAACACAATACTCAAATATTAAAGGACACAAAATGGGAAATGAACAAGCTGAGTAGTATTGGTTGGTATTAGAGAACATGCTTTAAAAAGTAAAGCTGGGCTTGGTGGCTCAGCCTGTAATCCCAGCACTTTGGGAGGTCAAGGCGAGTGGATTGCCTGAAGCTGTGGGTTCAAGACCAGTCCAAGCAACTTAGCGAGACCTTGTCTCTACAATAAATTTAAAAATTATCTGGGTATGGTAGTGTATGCCTGTAGTTCCAGCTACTTGGAAGGCTGAGGTGGAAGGTCAACGCTGGGGTGGCCGTGAGTGTGCCACTGTACTCCAGCCTGGGTGACAGAATAAGACTACCCCCCCCCAAATAATTAAAAATTCTGTAGCAAGTTACACAAAAGGTAGATGAAACTAATGAAAACGGGATTCACCATTATAAGGTCACGTCTCAAACCCATGGTTCTACTGAAAGTTGTTACCCTAACTCCAAAAGGACTGGCTGACACCGTGGCATCAGGGAACATTTCACAGAATATTTTCTTTTTTTTTTTTGAGTTGGAGTCCACTCTGTCGCCCATACTGGAGTGCAGTGGCCGCTCCCGGCCACCGCAGCCTTGACCTGATGGGCTCCAGCAATCCTTCCGCCTCAGCCTCAGCATTCCAAGTAGCTACAACTACAGGTGCGCACTACCACGTCCGGCTTTTTTTTTTTTGAGTTGGAGTCTCATTTTGTTGCCCAGACTGGAGTGTAGTGGCCGCTCCCGGCCACCGCAGCCTCGACCTGCTGGGCTCGGCGATCCTCCACCTCAGCCTTCCAAGTAGCCGGAATTACAGGCATGTGCTACCACGCCCGGCTGATTTTTGATTTATTGTAGAGATGAGGTCTC